GCCAGGCAGAGGGAGGGAATCCTGGGGCTCAGGTGTGGGGCAAGGCAGAGGCAGTTAGGGGCAATCAGGCCAGCAGGGGAGCAATTAGGGGTGATCAGGTCAGTAGGGGAGCAGTTAGGGGCGATCACGCAGGCAGGCAGAAGTGGTTAGGGGTGATCAGGCAGGCAGACAGATGGGTTAGGAGCCAGTGGTCCCGGATTGCGAGAGGTTATGTCCAACTGAATGGCAGTCGGACATCCCCCAAGGGGTCCTGGATTGGAGAGGGTGCAGGCTGGGCTGAGGGGACCCCTTCCCATGCACGAATTTCATGCATCAGGCCTCTAGTAAGTAAATAAAATCCACAATATGGAGAGCTATATGATACATACTGAAGACCAATGATATGTGCCCTTTTCTGTATGTATGTTAAACTTCAATGAAAAGTTTTTAAACTTTTAAATAACATTCAATGGACACTAACAATTATGGAATCTGCAAACTGGAGGGAACCTTAAATATCAATTGCTCCACTTTCCTCGTTTTATCGATGAGGACACTAGTCTCAGGAAAGCTACACGAATTGCTCTCCTTGGAAGTAAATAACTCTATGCATACCTCAAAGATATTGTAGGTTTGGTTCCAGACCACTGCAATAAACCCAGTGTCGCAATAAATCAAGTCCTAAGCTTTTGCTGGTAGGGGGTCCTGCCTTCAATTTGTAAAAACAAAATAAAACAAAACAAAAATGAACATCTGTATCTGTGAAGCACAATAAAGCCAGGTATGCCTCCATCTGAACCAAATGAATAGTCTGTTAGGCTACTAATCACTCTATGATTTGGCCCTGCCTTAATTCTCTGCCAACCTGACTCACTCTACCTTTATTCTATAATAATTTTTAGCATATTATTTGCTAATGATCCCCCACCTGGCTCCATTTATAAAAATCTACCCAAGGCCTAGTTCAAAAGCCCATGAAGCTTTCCTCTACTAGCTCCCCTTGGCCTTCATCATAATTATCATAATTTACCCTGAATGGGTAACATTCCATCCCTTAGAATTAAGCATATGCTCCTTAAGGGAAATGTCTCACCATATCCCCACTAACACAGTGCCTCAGGGATTGCTTGTTGCCCTAATGAATAACCAGCGCCAGAGCAAACCA